AGCGCTGGTGCTGAGAGCAAAAAAGAAGAAACGAGGCTGGCCGAAAGGCAAGCCAAGAAATACCAGGTCGAGGGAGGACTCCCGGGAGAGCTTGGTGGACCCTAGCTCGCCCAAGGGTCCAGACGAACAAAATGTAGAAGATCTCCATAAGTGATAAGAATTCTGTGATAATTGTATATTAAACTCTATTTTATAATATTTATTTACCTGTGCACGTATATACTTTTTTTTTTTTCCTAAATTTTATTTTATACTAATTTATTACTAGTGTATAAAGTCTGTGGGTAATTCTGTGTAAAACCTTTTATTAAAAATTACTTAACAATGACCACTTTAATACAGTGGAACATGAATGGATGTATAAATCGTTATCCAGAACTTAAAATGATAATCACAGAAAAGGCACCTACCTGTATTTGTGTCCAGGAGACACATTTCGCTCCTGAAAGTAATTTCAACCTGCGAGGCTTTGACTGCTTCCGGAAAGATGTCATCCCAACACATCGTTCGAGAGGTGGAGTAGCTACCTTCATGAAAAAAGAACTACACCCTAGAGAAATACCTTTAAATACCCCACTCCAGGCAGTTGCAGTTCGTACAATGGTGCCAAATAAAATTACAATCTGTAATATCTATTTACCAGATGGAAATTGGAGCTATAACCAAATGATAGATATATTTATGCAACTGCCCTCTCCTTTTGTTGTAGTTGGCGATTTCAATGCGCATAACCCCTTGTGGGGATCACAATCCTTAGACCGTCGAGGGCAGAGAATAGAAGAGATCATAAACGAGTTAGGGCTCGTTCTTCTAAATACAGGAGAAGGAACCTTCTTCAACGCTCGATCCCAAAACTTCTCTTGCATTGATTTATCTTTGTGTAGCTCAAATATCGCACACTTGCTGACATGGAACATTCTCGAGGACCACTTACACTCCGACCACCTACCTATATGCATCAAGATAGCAGGTGATCTTCCTCAAAGCTCCATTCACTCCACCTGGCAAATGAACAAGGCGAACTGGAACTTATACCGGAGTAAAATTGTTCCTTTCGAAATCAACAATGACGTTGATGAGTCAACAAGGTCAGTAACAGAATCCATCGTCAACGCAGCCATTGCTAGTATCCCTAAGAGACAAAACTCTAATAGAAGACGCACTGTGCCATGGTGGAGCAATGAGCTATACCAGGCTCTCGAAGAGAAAAAAGAGTTACTGAGGATTTTTAGAAGAAACCCAACTATGGAAAATATGGTAGCTTTTAAGAAACAAAGAGCCAAAGCACGCAGGTTAATTTTAAATAATAAAAAATCATCTTGGGAGCAATACGTTTCTGGTATAACAAAAGACACACCCTCAAATGAAATATGGAGTAAAATTAGATCCATTGCAGGCAAACATTACCAAAACCCTCCAAATATACTAATTATAAATAATACCGAAGTCACAGATCCTATCGATATACCCAATGCTCTAGCATCCCACTTCCAGGAATCCAGTAGCACGCAAAATTATGAACCACACTTCATAGAAACGAAAACAACAGTTGAAGCTGTAGAATTGAATTTTCAAGAATCAGTAAAATCAGACTACAATTTACCTTTCTCATCCACCGAAATGACGGACGCGCTGGAAGAATTACGTAATTCAGCGCCTGGCCCTGATTCGGTTAACTACGAAATGCTTCGAAACTTACCCGAAACAGAAAAAAATGGGTTACTGCTACTATACAATAAGATTTGGTCCGAGGGGACACTACCAACCCAATGGAGGGAAGCAATTGTAATCGCTATTCACAAAGTAGGTAAAGATCCCAAGTATGCAAACAACTACCGACCGATCTCTCTTACTAGCTGTATTAGTAAATTATTTGAGAAAATGATAAATAAAAGGCTTGTGTGGTGGTTGGAGGTTAATAACAAGATTTCCAACCACCAATCTGGGTTTCGCAAATATAGATCTACCATTGACCAATTGGTCTACTTAGATACGGCTGTCCAACTTGCATTTGCCGAACGTAAGCACCTGATTGCCGTATGCTTCGATATTGAAAAGGCCTACGACACTACGTGGAGGCGTGGAATCATTGACACGCTGTACCATTGGGGCCTACGTGGGGAATTAATAAAATTTATCCATAATTTCATGCAGGACCGTTATTTCAGGGTTCGGGCTGGAAATATTTTTTCAACCAGCCGAACACAAGAGAATGGTATACCTCAGGGTTCAACCCTGAGCGTTACTTTATTCTTAGTAGCAATTAACCGCTTGCTGGAAGTAGTAGACCCCGAAGTTGGCAGTTGCCTATACGTAGACGATATGACCATATTCTATTCGTCCGTCGATCTAGAACACTTGAAAGACACACTTCAAAGGGCTATTGACCAGATTGCTACCTCTGCTGAAAACATGGGCTTTAAATTTTCCACCTCTAAAACAGCTTGTATCCACTTTTGTCGACTACGAAGGTCACACGACGATCCGATATTGACACTGAAAGAGACCCCAATCCGATACTGCGATAGTATTAGAATACTTGGGCTAATTTTCGACAAAAAACTATACTGGAAGGAACACATACAGGACCTAGCTACCAGATGCAAAAGAGCCACAAATATTATAAGATGCTTATCGAATATATCATGGGGAGCAGACAGAGAAGTACTTTTAACACTCTACAAAACATTGGTTCTATCTAAAATGGAATACGGAATGTCTTTGTTCGCCGCAGCAAGGAAGTCACACATCAGAATCTTAGAAAAGGTCCATAACCAGGGAATCCGACTATGCATAGGAGCTTTCAGGACAAGCCCCGTAACATCTATATATTGCGATGCTGGTATTCCTCCTTTATCATACAAAATACAAGTTTCAACACTAAATTATGCAATCCATGTGTGGGCACAACCAAATCACCTGAATCACCGCATTATCTTCAATGACGAAGTAAACTCGCTTTATCATAATCGACCAACTATTACTAGGCCAATTGGAGTAAGAATACAAGAACAACTCAGGACCCTTGGGTATTCCCTTCCAAATGTATACCCTATTGGCTTCTCCAGAACACCACCCTGGTGTATTTCTCAACCAAAAGTACTTCTTGAATGCTCCTCAAATAAGAAAAGCGAAACTAACCCTTCTGTCTTTGTCCAATCCTTCCTAAACGTAATTAATACCTACGACTACCACTCCGCTATCTATACAGATGGCTCGAAAACTCAAAATAGTGTAGGAAGTGCATTTACAGATGGTGAAAATGGCCGAAGCTTCTCCCTAAACCCGATGTCATCCGTTTATCATGCAGAACTTTACGCTATCATAAAAGCGTTGCAGTACATAGAAAATAAAGAAGATGGTACCTACCTTGTATGCTCTGATTCCAAGAGCTCTTTAGAAGCAATTCAAAAACCCTACAGTACTGATCCTATGATCCAAATGGTGCTAGACTTAAATCACGGTCTCAAACTAAGGAGAAAGGACATCATCTTCGTATGGACACCAGGACACGTGGGAATACGTGGCAACGAACTTGCGGACCAAATGGCGCGGAATCCCCAGGTGGCAGCTTCACTAGAAGACCGCACTGTCCACCCAAGTGATCTCAAAGCACACCTGAAAAATAAAATACTGGATGAATGGCAACGCACCTGGAGCCAAGGAAATGATAAATTGAAAGTACACAAACAACACATCAACAAGTGGTACTTACCCTCCTCGTTATCAAGACGGGAACAAGTTGTCCTAACGCGTTTGCGAATAGGACATACAAATCTCACACACCTCCATCTTATCGTGGCGAATCCCCCGCCTCGATGCAGAACATGCAACAACCAACTATCCATAGAACACGTTCTGCTCGAATGTCCTTCCTATTATCAGGCTCGCCAACGCTATCGTATACCAAACACAATACCCGAGTGCTTCAAAGGCGAGGCCCACATCCTGCGAGTCTTAGATTACCTGAAGGATATAAATATATTTAAAAAAATTTGAAAATTGTAATTCCAAGTGAAGAACGAACCTTATTTTATAACGAATTGACCCAACACATAGGAAACCTATGATCCGGGATGCCCTGGAACAAAACAAATATGGATCAGTATCTATACTACATGTTGTAGGAAAGTACTTACTTACCTGTGTATCTTGCCTGAATATGAATGTGTGTACACGAAAGTACAAAACAGCTGCTGAGGAATATCTGAAAGATGGAAAGGAACATAAATATTACGTACACAAATAAATCAAATATGCTATTGATACTTTCCCTGAAATGAAAAGAAGCACCCAGATCTACCCCTGGGTGAGAATTAATGACCTATATGGGAGGAGGGATACGGCAAATGACCTCAGCAGTCGACGCCGTGGGATTTAAAAAAAAAAAAAAAAAAAAAAAAAAAAAAAAAAAATAAAATAATAATAATAATAATAATAATAATAATAATAATAATAATAATAATAATAATAATAATAATAATAATAATAATAATAATAATAATAATAATAATAATAATAATAATAATAATAATAATAATAATAATAATATAATAATAATAATAATAATAATAATAATAATAATTGCTGGGAACCTGAAATTAATAAAGAAAATCAAATCTGGGCTACTGTTGGAAACCAGTACCGCAACCCAGGCAAACAGACTTTTGCAAACACAAAGAGTTGGAGATTACAATGTTGTAGTTAAAGCGCATTCCACGCTTAATTACTCCAAAGGAATTATTACTTGTGCTGATCTTTTGAACTCCACTTTGGAGGAAATATTGGACGGCCTGAAAACAGAAGGAGTTATTGACGTAAAACGTATGATGCGTAGAAGAGGTGAGGAACTTATAGAAACACCAAATCTCATTCTCACTTTTGATAGACCCAATCTACCTAATAAAATTAAAGCTGCCTTCTACCACCTTGATGTTCGCCCTTACTACCCAAGCCCTTTGCGGTGTTTCAAATGCCAGAAATTTGGTCATACATCCCAGAAATGTCCTAATACCGAAATGTGTACTTGTGGTCAACCCAATCACCCAGGAGAGCCGTGCAATGAACATAAGAAATGTATCAACTGTGAAGGACAGCATGCTGCTGATTCTAGAGAATGTCCGCGGATGAAGGAAGAAATTGTCATCCAAAGAGTGAGGACGCTAGAAAAAATTAGTTATCTGGAGGCAAAAAGGAAAGTAATTAGCTCATCTCCCCGGGTGTCATACGCTCAAGTTACCGCTACCCCAAGTGCTACAGTTAATAAACTTGTTGAAGAACTCCTTCCTCTGCTTTCAAAGACGATAGAAACACAGATTAAACAAACCTTTGATAAATTTGTAAATAGACCAGTACGGACATTGACACCTTTAAATCTACCTCCTCCTAACCAATACCTATCGGATACGTCTACTCAACCATCTCTTTCAGAAAAGAGGAAACGTACTGTTATCCAAAAGGATAATGCGGATGATACCGCAGACGATACTGACGAAAGCTTCTCGTCACAAGCCAGCGGAACATCCTCACTTGCTAAGAAAAAAAAGGGATGGCCGAAGGGAAAACCCAGAAAGCCTCCAGATGATAAGACGATTAGTTCCGATGTAATTGATCTCAACTAGCATTACGTAACGATGACTTCTGTGATATTACTTTGCAAAATGCATTTTTTATCCATATTTTTTATACATAGTTATATTTATATCTTTTTATACTCATATATATATATATATATATACACCTTTTACTTATAGTTACACTTATTTTTCACACAATGTGTTCTATAGTGCAATGGAATATTAATGGATATAAAACGCAACCACCCAGAATTGAAATCACTTCTGTTAAATGAGGCACCAATTTGTGCATGCCTTCAAGAAACGCATCTAGCAGAGTCAGACAGCATAAACCTACGTGGATATACATGTTACAGGAAAAATGGCATTAGGAATATTCGTGCCAAAGGCGGCGTAGCGACCCTTATAAAAGAAGATATCTCATCTAATGAAATCATGGTTGACTCACAATTGCAAGCAATCGTAGTACAAATCTTCCAGCCAGTTAAACTAACTATATGCAACATCTATCTCCCAGACTTCAGCTGGGAATCAAGACAAATGCGGCAACTTTTTTTTCAGTTGCCTACACCTTGTGTCATACTGGGCGACTTCAACGCCCATAACCCATTATGGGGATCAGAGAAACTTGATATGCGAGGCCGCCTTATAGAAGATATCATCAACGAATATAACCTGGTGGTTTTGAACTCAGGATCAGGTACCTTCCTTAATATCCGCTCTCTTAAACTTAGCGCTATAGATCTAACAGTTTGCAGTCCTGAAATTGCACATCTGTTTACTTGGGAAACAATGGACGATCAATTCTCAGATCATCTGCCTATTAGAATAAAATGTGCGACCCGATGTTCAAACTTCTATTCCTCCCCAAAATGGCAAATTAAAAAGGCAAATTGGAGTAAGTTCCAAGAAAACATCAAAGCCCTTGAGTTTAAAGAATCTGTCGAAGAATCTGTGCAACAGCTCACCGAAAATATCTTGGACGCTGCTAAAGTGAGTATCCCTGTTTCAGGTTATACCTCTCCCATTAATATAAAGCCCAGAGTGTCTTGGTGGAATGATAGATTAGAAAGAGCATTGAAAGAAAAACACCATGCACTTAACATATTTAAAAGATACCCTACACAAGAAAATCTTATACGCTTCAAAAAATGTAGAGCTAATGCGAGGAAAATTTTACTCAACAGCAAAAAAGCATCGTGGAAAAATTATGTTTCCTCAATAACCTCTGAGACCCCGACTTCAGAAATTTGGTCAAAGATAAGAGCTATAAGTGGAAGATCATTAACTCTACCAAGTTCTATTCTCATCGTTAATAACCAAGAAATATCCGAAAAGAACGAAATCTTGAATACTTTGGCACAACGATTTCAAATAAATAGTGGGACTGAAAGATATGCTGACAACTTCATCCAACAAAAAAATGAAGCAGAAGAAGTGGGAATTGACTTCGACGAGGAAAATATATCTGAATATAACCTTCCTGTAACTTTGGATGAACTGGAGTACGCACTCGCTGAGGTCAAAAGCTCTTCACCTGGTCCAGATACTATACACTATGAAATGATACAACACTTACCTGTAAGTGAAAAACAAAAACTACTAGAACTATATAACAAAATATTGATAGAAGGTACTTACCCAAAACAGTGGCAAAACGCAATCATCATTCCTATCCCGAAAGCTGGTAAAGACAGTAAGGATCCCAATAACTACCGCCCCATATCTCTAACATGCTGCCCAAGTAAAATACTAGAAAAAATGACTTAAGGCTTATATGGTACCTAGAGAAACATGGATTATTGTCAAAATATCAAATGGGTTTTCGTAGGTATAGATCAACAACAGATCAGCTAGTCTATCTGGAAGCAGCCATTCAAAAAAGCTTTGCTAAAAGGCAACATACAGTAGCAGTATCATTTGACATTGAAAAAGCATATGACACTACATGGCGGTTTGGCGTACTGAAAACACTGCATGAATGGGGAATAAGAGGATACATACTACGTTTCATTGCAGGCTTCCTAGAACACAGGTATTTTAAAGTACGTATTGGAAAGAACTTTCAGCATCATACAGACAAGAGAACAGTATTCCCCAAGGTTCAACTCTAAGCGTGACCCTTTTTCTTGTGGCTATAAATAAGCTAATCGAAAAAGTGCCAATAGAAGTCGGGAAATGTATATACGTGACGACTTAACAATATCTTTTACTGCAGACAAAATGGAAGATATAGTAGGTACTTTGCAGACATCCATAAATACATTAGCTTACGAGGCCGAAAAAATGGGTTTCTCCTTCTCTCCACAGAAATCAGCATGCATACATTTTTGCAGGCTAAGGAGACATCATGACCCACCAGCTCTGACTTTGAAAGGCACACCAATAGCTAACAGACACCATATAAACATATTAGGCATTACCTTGGATGATAAATTATACTGGAAGAATCATATAGAGGAACTCGTAATCAAAAGTAAAAAGGCCTTAAATATTATTAAATGTCTCTCAAGCATCAGTTTGGGAGCAGACAGGGATGTGTTGCTCTCATTATATAAATCAATAGTCATGTCCAAGTTTGAGTATGGAGCAATAGTATACTCAGCAGCAAGACAATCCCATCTAAGTAGATTAGAGAGAATACACAAGGAGGGTATACGGTTATGCATTGGTGCCTTCCGGACATCACCGAATGCGTCCGTTTTTTGTGAATCAGGCATACCTCCCTTAAGCTACAGAATACAGCAGCTGCTACTGAACTATAGCGTAAAAATATGGGCACAACCCCAGCACCCTAACCACAATATATTATTTGAGGAAGAAGAAATTTCAATTTATCGGTCTAGACCATCCATCACAAAGCCCGCAGGTGCCCGCATCCATAAGCTACTCGAGGATTTAGAAACTCAGATGCCCCCAACCTATAGTCTTAAATACATAGATTGCCCTGTATGGAGGCTGTCACTCCCAGAAGTTAACTTCGAATGCGCCAAATACAAAAAGGCCACACCAATCCTACATTTTATAAACAGACATTTCTTGATATAATTGGTAAATACCAAAACGTAAGGAGAATAATTTATGCGGATGGGTCTAAAACCGAAGGGGGCATAGGATGTGCATTAACAACTACGGAGATAACCCGCAAATGGCGCCTAAGTCCAATGGCCTCAATTTTCTCAGCGGAATTATACGCAATACTTCAATCCCTAAAATTGATTGATGATGAGGAACAGGGCTTATACATAATCTGCAGTGACTCTTTGAGCTCACTGCAAACTATTTCTGACAAATTCAGTAAAAACCCCTTAGTTCAAGAGATTCTCTTGACCACCTACCAGCTCCAACAGAAGAAATCACAGGTCATATATGTGTGGACGCCAGCACACGTAGGAATCCATGGAAATGAAATAGCAGATACAGCTGCCAAGGAAGCCACAATGGAAGAATACCTCAACATACCAGTCGTGCCTGAAGACGTGAAAAAATTCATGAGGTTGCAGCTACTTAATGAATGGCAGCAAGAATGGAACTCAACAAACCATTTTTTGAAGACGATCAAGCCGAACGTAACAAAATGGAATCTTCCCCATCTGACTCGTAGAGAGCAGGTCGTAATTACGCGAATGAGAATAGGTCACACAATTCTTACACATTCCCACATACTTTTAGGTAATCCACCACCAAGGTGTGAGACGTGTAATGAATTGCTTACTTGGAAGCATATACTGATCGAGTGCCCATCATACATAGCTGCTAGAAGAGCACACAACATAGCTGGTGATTTAAAAGGTTGTTTATCCTCTAATGCCAACGTAGGAGATACATTGAATTTCCTTAAATCTACCAAGCTTTTCCGTAAAGTATAACGTTATTAAATAAGATACTACTATGTAGAAATATATTAGATAGCTGTAGGTCTATGATAGATAAGGAAGCACTGGTGTCGGATAAGTAAGTAAATACAGGGTACCCACGCGTATGTGGGTATTCTTATTTACATTTTTTTTTCTGTGTTTGTCTGTAATAAGTTAATTTTATATGTTTGTTCTTCTTTTTTTATGTATTCAAAAAATCTGAGCTACATCACATAACATCCGAATCACCCAGATTTACCCCTGTGGTGAATGTGGCAATTGACCATATGGGCAGGAGGAAAGCGGCTAATGGCCTTAGCAGTCGATGCCGCTGTGGGCTTAAAAAAAAAAAAAAATATAATAATAATAATAAAATCCGATACAGATCCTCGATAAGATCCAACAAAGGTTGTCTGTATACGCAAATCGCCTAAAGCGATATAAAGAGTCGCATCAAAGAAAACTACAAAATAGCATATTTCGAACGAATCAAAAGAGGTTCTATCGCTCACTGGAAAACGAAGATGTAAGTACTACGGGTAAAACTCCAGAAGCTAGAGATGCATTAACATATTGGGCTGACCTATGGGAGAACCCTAAGACTCATAATAATAAAACAAGTTGGCTCGCGGACGAAAAGAGGAAAACCGAAAAAATACCCATGATGCACTACAACGTCATAACTGTGGAGGATGTTAAAAGATCTATAAACAACACGCAGAACTGGAAGGCGCCTGGACCTGATGGCATCCATAACTATTGGCTCAAAAAGTTCACTTGCACACACGAAACGTTAGCGATGATTTGCACAAGCCTCTTGCAAGATCCAGAATCCATTCCAGCATTTCTGACAACGGGAAACACCTACTTGCTTCCTAAAACATTCCCTTCTGTGAGCGACCCATCAAAATACAGGCCAATTACGTGTCTTCCAACCATATATAAAATAATTACTTCAATTTTATGCGATAAAATTTACCAGCACCTTGAAAGGCATCATCTGCTCCCAGAAGAACAGAAAGGCTGCAAAAGGGAAGTCGTGGCTGCAAAGAGCAACTTACAATAGATACAATCATCACGGAGGAAGCAAAGGGCTGTAAGAAAGATCTGTATGTTGCATACATTGACTATAAAAAGGCCTTTGACAGTGTTCCTCACTCTCTATTAATTGAAATGCTCCAAATATAT